GGGGGGCGGGGGGGGAGCTATAGTCACAAAAGCTTTAGACTGATGAAAAAATCTAAAAAGAAGCATAGCTCTCATGTTTAAAAGGTGTTCCATACCCATCTCTTAAGTGAAACCCATTGTATACAAAATAGTAATACACTCTGGTGTTAGATTCATTTGAATTAGAATGTCTGTAATGTACTTATCTGAAATGGGCTCCATAGACTTGCAGTCCTCCCCCTGTGCACACACACGAACACACAATACCCATATATCTTTGCCCATTGTAAAGCTAAAGACCATCATCTATTTTATTAAAGGAAATGAGTGGAAAAGATGGGCAGCAGCACATCCAAACTTTAATGAATGAGTCGATTTTTGTTGAATATCAGTATATTTTTAAGAACAATTTAAGGAAGTGTACATCAAAGAACTTCCCAAAAGATGATTTGAGATTTTTTTTGAAAGGGGTTTAATTAATGTATACAAATATTCTCATGCTGACACAGGTGATTGAACCCAATAACACTGGGATGTCCATGAGCCCAATTCCTTTAAATAAATTTGTATCCATTTTTGAATAGGTAATGTGTGCATAGTTCAAAATTCAAGGCACAAGGGTGTACAGTGAAAACTAAGGTTTTTTTCTCTCATCCTTCCATCTTGTTGCTCTCTCTGGAGAAAACCATTGTGATCAATTTCTTGCTTATCCTTTTAGAAATACATATGCTTACACAAGGAAGTACTTATATGTATACATGTTATTTTAAGTCTCAAGTGGTAGTAAGATATATATATTCTGTTCTGCAACATATAGAGCTGCCACATTCTTTTTAATGGCTGCATATTACTTCATTGTATGACGGTGCTGTATTTAGCCACTTTCCCATGTATGGACATTTCAGTTGCCAATATTTTGCTGCTATGTGCAATGACATGTGCACAGAATTCAAATGTATCTCTATATGCCAAACACTTAGAAAAGGAATTTCAAGATCACCATTAATGTCTGTTTGTATATATTTTTTTCTGTTTGTATATTTGATATATATTTTTTTATTGCCTTCCATAGAGCTTGCACCAATTTGCACATCTGCTAAAACAATATGAACGCGCCTATTTTCCATACTTTAATCAAGAGTGAGTGCAAGTGTTGCCTTACTTTGCACTTGGCTTATTAGGAATGAGGGTGAATATCTTTTCATATGTTTAAGAGCCTTTTGAATTTCCTTTTTCATGGGCAAATTGTTTGATTATACCTTCTGCCCATTTTTCTATTGGGTTCTTCGTCTTTTTCTTATTGATCTGTAGGGGTTTTACATACAGAGAAATTAGCCCTTGGGATGTTAAGTACATTTTTTAATCATTTATCTTTTAGGGTTTGGTTTTGCTTTTGCCATATTGAATTTTTTAAATGTTTATGTAGTCCAATCTAAGACATGTTTTTCTTTTCTTTTTCCTGGATTTTGTGTCATATTTTGGAAGACATTCTTTACTCCAAAATATTAACAATACCTTCTCATGTTTTCTTCCAATATTTTTGGATTTTTAAAAAATATTTAAAACTTTGATCCATTTTGAATTCATTTTTATATAAAGTATGAGGTAGGGAAGCAATCTCTTATTTTTTTCCAGATGGCTACCTATCTTTGATTTTTTTTTCTGAACTTTCTGTTCTGTTTCATTTAATTGTTTAACTATTTACTATTTTAATACTATTTAAATTAGCACATCATTTTAATTACTGTCATTCTATAATATGGTTTATTATCTGATAGGACTAGAGACTCCATATTTCTCTATCTCAGAATTTTCTAGGCTGTATTTCTCAATTTGCAACCCTAGCCTCAGGCAACCATTAAGCTGACTTCTATCATAGATTTACCTTTCCAAAATTTTACACAATGGAGCCATGAAATACATAGTCTTTACATCTGGCCGTTCACACTTAGCATACTGTTTTAGAGGTTTATTCATGTTGTAGTATGTATCAGTAGTTCATTCCTTTTTATTGCTGAATAGTGTTTCATTATGTGGATATGCTACATTTTGTTTATTTATTCACCAGTTAAAGGACATATGGATTGTTTCCACTTTTTGCAATCATGAATAATGCTATTATGAACAGTAACATACAAGTCTTTGTGTGCACATGCATTTTCTTTTCTCTTGGGCAACAAGGAGTTGAATTGCTGCACCTTATGGTAAATATATCTTTAAAAACTGCCCATCTGTTTTCCAAAATGGTTGTGCCATTTTACATTCCCACCAACAATTTATGTAGGCTTCAGTTTCTCCACATCTTCATCAACATTATTTATTAGAGCTATTATGGTGGCATCTATGGTGGATTTAATCTGAACATCTTTTTATGTGCTAATTAGCCATTCATATATATTTTTTGTTGAATTGTCTATGCAAATCTTTTGCCCATATTTTGACTAGGTTGTTTTCTTCTTGTTATAAAGTTACAAGAATTCTTTATATATTCTTGATACAGGTCTTTATCAAATATATGATTTGCAAATATTTTCTCTCAGTATGTGGCTTGTTTTTTACTTAATGGAGTCTTTTAAAGAGCAAAAGTTTTAAGGATGAAATCAAATTTATCACTTTTTGCTTTTATTGCTTGTGTTTTGATGTTCTATCTAATCTTTGCATAACCCAGTGGTTCTCAGCTGGAGGCAGTTTTGCCCCAAGGGACACTTGGTAATATCTGGAGATATATATTGTTGTCAGAACTAGGAGCAGGTTGCTACTGGAGTGTTGTGGGTCGAGGCCAAGGATGCTGCTAAGCATTCTAAAATGCAGAGGACAAGGCCACAGCAAAGAATAATCTGGCCTGTAAGGTCAGTATTGCCTGATTGAGAAACACTGACATAACCCAAGGTTATGAGGATTATCTTCTTTTTTTTTTTTACTTCAAAATATTTGATAATTTCAGCTCTTACATTTAGGTCTGTGATCCATTTTGAGTTCATTTTTGTGTGTGACGTGAGGGGGTCTAATTCATTGTTTTGCATTGGATGTGCTGTTGTTTCAAGACCATCTGTTGAAAAGATAATGAATATCTGGCCCTTTTGAACTATTTTTCCCTTTATAAAGCCCCTTTATGAAAATCAATTGACCATAAATGTTGGGATTCAAGCTTTTTTTATTGGTATTTTCATGATACATCTTTTTCCATAATTTTACTTTTAACCTACCTATATCATTTGAAGTGAGATTTTTCATAGGTAGTATATAGTTGGGTCATATTTTTTGTTGTTAACAGTATTACAGATGTCCCACATCAACCCCTTTTACCTCCCTTTATCCAGTCCCCACCCCACCCCAGGCCTTTCCCACCTAGTCTGTGTCCATGGGTTATGCATATATGTTCTTTGGTTAATCTCTTTATTCTGACAATTAGTGTGTTTAGACTAGTTACATTTAGTCTAATTATTGATATGTTTGGATTTAGGTCTACTATTTTAATATTTTATTTATTCCTATTTTTCTCTTGTTGCCTTCTTTTGGATTAAACATTTCTTAGTATTCCATTTTATCTATTTTGTTTTTTACTGTATCTCTTTATCTCTTTGTGTAGTCTTTTTAGTGTGTTTTTTTTTTTCCTCTAGGAATTACAATATACATGCTTAACTTTTCAGAGTTTATTTAGGACAAATAGTTACCACTTAAAATGGAACATAGACACCTTACCATTTAGGCCTCTTTACAGTTTCCTCTATATTGTAGTTATTTCACGTATTTAATCTACATACATTAAAAAAACTCTTAGACAATGTTATATTTGCTTTCAACCATAAAACATTTTTAAAACTGAGAATAGTTTGTTATTTATACTGAGATTTTTACTGTTTCTGTTGTTCTTTGTTTATCCCTGGTGCTCCCAGTTTCCTTCTGATAGCATTATGCTTTTGTCTTAAGAACTAGAACACATTTTTTGGCAATGAATTCTCTTAGTTTTCCTTAATCTGAAATTTTCTTTATTTGACCTTTATTCCTAAAGTGTATTTTTACTGGATATAGAATTCTGGTTTGATAGTTCTTTTCATTTAGTGTTTAAAAAATGTTGTGCCAGCCTGGCTGGTGTGGCTCAGTGGTTGAACATCAATCTAGGTAGGATCCAGGAGGTCACAGTTAGATTCCCAGTGGGGGCACATGCCCGGGTTGCGGGCTTGATCCCCAGCCGGGGGGGTGCAGGAGGCAGCTGATGAATGACTCTCTCATCATTGATATTTCTCTCTCTCTCTCTCTCCCTTCCTCTCACTGAAATCAATTAAAAAAAGAAACATTTTTTTTTTAGAATGCTGTGCCATATCCTTCTGCTGATGAGAAATCTGTTGTCACTCAAATTGTTGTTCCCCTATAATTACAGCTGCTTTTGATTTTTTCCTTTTTAGTTTTAAGCAATTTGATGATGACGAGTCTTAAAGTGAATTTGTTTGGGCTTATTTTAGATTCACTTCTTGAGTTTGTTATGTCTTGTGGCAAATTAGGGAAGCTTTCATCCATTATTTCTTCAAGTATTTTTTCTGTACCACCCTTTTTTCCCTCTCCTCCTAGGATTCTCATGACATAAATGTAAAACATTTTGGTATTGTCCTACAGGCCCCCAAGATCTGTTAATTTTTTAATATTTTTTGAAAAAAGTTTAATCAATCCTATATTGTTCAGTGTGGCTAATTTCTATTGTTCTATCTTCAGGTTTACTGACTTTCCTCTATCTTTATTCTGCCCATCCAATTTTGCATTTTGGATTTTTTTTTTAGTTCTAAAATTTCCATTTGGTTCTTCTTTATAACTTCTTTATACCAAGACTTTCTGTGTTTCCATTTATGTCAACAGTATTTGTAAGTACTTCAGTTTTTCACATGGAAATTTTCCCTTCTGAAAGAGCTCGTAATATCTGGCCTGTTTATTTGCTCTTTGACTTTTTATCAGAGAGTCAGGTGTATAAAAATTGGTTTACTTTAGTTTGTTGCTGTTATGATTCCAGATGAATGGCAATCTACTATGTTCATATCAGAATAGTTGCTTTGGATAATTTTTCTCATTTTATATTTGGAAAGAACTAAACATCGGGTTCAGAGACCTGTGTATGAATTTTGCCTCTGCTAATTTCTAGCACTGTATTACTGACAAGTCTCTTCACCTCTCTGGGAAACATTTTCATGAGTGTTGAATGGATCTTTGAACTGCATTCCTTCTCTAACACTCGAGGGGTCTCTGGTCTGTGGAGCATGGGACAGCATCCACATTTGTCCTTTGACATATCTCTCCTGCCCTTGTTGGTCTTGGAACGATGGGGACTGTTTGATGATATTATGGTGAACTTAATATTAGAATTCTTAGCAAGAACACCATTGACCAAACACCCACTGGAAGCAGAAAGATTTTAGTCTTAGTGGGGGATCATATTTTCCATATCACGGACAGATGGATGTTAACATCTCTTCTTTAGATTAAGAATGATATAACCAACTTTCTTCTGACAAACAGTCCAGCAGACTTTACAATTAAGGAAGCGTTCTCAACATTTAACTTGGGTCCCTTCTGCTGAAGTTTCTCGAAGTCTGCCTGCCCGCTCTGGTAGCCGTGGCAGGGCCCCTCTGGCCTGCCTTGGGACGTTCTGCCCCTCCACTGGCCCTTTCTTTCCTTTCCACAGCTGCTTCAGCTCTCAGCTGCCGCCGTGGACAAAGGCCGCAGCGTAGGGGAGGTTCTGCAGTCAGTGCTGCGCTACGAGAAGGAGCGACAACTGGACGAGGCAGTGGGAAATGTCACACGGCTGCAGCTGCTGGATTGGCTGATGGCGAACTTGTGATCAGCGCCCACCCACTGCTTTGTCCTTTCCAGCGCTGGGACCCGCCCTTGTCCCTTCCCTCCTTTCTCGCTTCCACAGTTCCCCTCTCTATATCCTCACAGAGCCCTAACATTATCTTCATCCCACTCACATCAAAGACATGTCATCTTATGCTAGTCACTGGATTTTGCAGATTTTCCCGTCCATGCGAGCAAGGACATAAAATAAAAAACATTACAATTAAACGGCTCCAGGTGTATGGTTTCCTTGCGATACAATGGGGCAATAAGGTAAAGAAATGTCAGTGATGAAAAAATAATCAGAGTAGAAAAATCAGTCCTGTAGAAAAATACAGGACTGGGAGCCCTTGCCAAGCGTCATTCAGCCTGTTCCTGATGTAGCCCCCATTCTGTGTCACAACGTGCAGCTCCCCTGCTTTCAAGTGTTCCCTAAAAATAAACCAGAATGTATCAACTCATTTCAGCCTTTTATAACCATGAAAATTGGGAATTATTTTCTAATATCCAACCTAAATCATTCTAATTATGGTATCAAGGATTTGGCTTCAAGGACAAAACTGTCCACCTCAACTTTACCCGTGGTTGAAGACAGTGTCAAAAAAGGTCCAGAAGATAGTTTTCTTGCCAGTTCTGCACCTTTCTGGATATGGGACATGGGACAAGTTACCTGTTATGATGCTGCTCTGACTAAATGTCCATATCACACCATTTAAGAACCATTTTCTGTTCTAATCAGGACCTTTCTGTGGCATTTTATATTCTTGATCCTTCTAGAAACTTTCTCCTCCTCTGGTTTTTAATTTTCCTATTTTTCTATGTTTCTTTGAGACACTGCTCAGCTGTGTCAGCCCCTTACATATTTCTCTTTCCTTGGACTTTCTCTCAACCTTCTGCTGTTCTCACTCTGTATTACCTTCCCTGGGCGATTTCATCCAAACCCAGAGCTTCAATTACCTGGTGTCTCTCTCCATATGTAGCCTCCTATTACACAACAATTAACATGAAAACTATGAAGCCAGGTATACTTTTCATGTTTATGGTGTTATGATCTTGAGTTTCTTGTAGAATTTTATCTGTGCTATAATTACCACCATATAGAGATTATGTATTCACTAGATAATCACTAGAAAGGTTCAAAAGTAAATGAACTTAATTAGACCTTGGGAGTCGTGGATGGATGAACACATCCTGCTGTGTGGTCCTGGAGAAGCATCAGACCTGGTGCTGCCAGCACCAGCATCTTAGTGCAGGCTTGCGACCGGTCTGGAGGATCTCAATATCTCAGACAGAGTGATTGGTTTAAGACCAGTCATTTCTAAGACTTCCCTGCCAGCGAGGAAGACTGCATATTTTGATTGGATGATAATGGTCATCTTAACTTCTGGGCACAGCTTGTCTTGAGGATGAAGTTAAGCATAAAAAGAGGCAAGGCTAAGATGGAGTAGTCTGAGCCCTATGACCTTATTGGAATTCCTACATCCTGCTGTGTCTGAAACTACACTTACCCTTTCCGATTCTCTAATTACATAAACCAATAAATGTCCTTTGTTATTTAATCTAGTTTGAATTCAGCTTCTGTCATTTTCAAACAAGAAGCCTGTCTTGGGCAAAAAAACTTAGGGTTCTATTAATGATGATATAATGGAGTATTTAACACCCCCCTCTACACACACAAACCCATATGTGCGCACACACGCACACACACACATACACCGTTTTATCTGGTTGAGGGCACAAGGAAGGATTGTAAATGCAAGGACATTCTTTCCCATCCCTCATATCAGGAATCATGCCAACTGGCCATGTGGATAGAGTTTTGTATTTTTAAAACAAACCTTTATGCATTAAAAACAACAATCTGAAGTATTGTACAATATAAGTGTGGTCTCTAATACAAATCATTGGTGAAAAGCAGGACACGCCCTCAGCAGAGGTCATACAATAGGTGGTAAAATGCTTGTGTTCTTGGGGGAGGAGTTCTTGCTTCTTTGCTCTGTGGGGGTCTTCAACTCCTCTGGCCTGACAGCTGCCTCTGGTTTACTGGAAGCTTCTGCTAGATGAGGCAGCTGGACAACTTCCGCTGCGTGCTGGTGAGAGCCCTGCTGAACACCTGAATTCCGAACCTGCTTAGTGGTGCCGTCTTTTATTTTGTCTATAGTCTCCTCTCTGATGGTCACATCTGCTGAAGGAGAAAGAAGACAAAAGAACATGTGTTCAAATGTGAATTATATTCTCTTTATTAACTGTCCATTAGCAGGGAAATCCTGGATGTAGTGACAAAAGCAACTCATTTATGAAGCACATTCTATGTGCCAGGCATTCTTCTAAGCACTTTATATTTACTAATTCATTTGACCCTTTCTCCACAACCATAGAAAACAGGCATTATTCTCGTCCTTGTAAGTGGAGAAACTGAGCTACAGAGAGGTAAGTAAATTGCCCAAGGGTCCATCCCTGGTAAATGGTAGGGCCTAAATTTAATTCCAGGCAACCTCACTCCAGTGACCATGTACATAACCGGTAAGCTATTTTCATATAAAAGATATTTGACTAATGCCATAATCTGATAAAGATTCAAAAGGTAATTTTGAGGGCTGCAGATAGGGACACAGTGAAAGAAAAGGAAAGGAAGAGAAAGGAAATTGAAGATTAAAAATGGAAAAATCTTAATAAGGGGCAAAAAGAGCTAGAACCAAGTTTTCTGAAAGCGAAATCCCAGAAGTAAGAAATGGCAGCACAGTGTAGTGATGTATCCAGAGTAATTATTCAAGGCTGAGTTAGAGGAACTGGTGTGCAGTCCTCCAGAGATGCCTAACCCCTGGACTATGGGAAGGAGACTGGCCATTTGAGCGACCTGTACCTTTTGTACCCGAGTGATGATGCCCTTGACCTTTGTCCTTTCTTGCCTCACAGGGGAAAGGGAGATTGAGTTTCCTCAGGGTCTGGGGCTTGGGCAGTGGTTTGAGACTCCGTGACTCATGAATCCAAGCATGCTTGAGGGCCTGGTCAGGGGTCATGCGACGAGAAGGTTCCCATCTACACAACAACAAAGCCCAGCACGGATTATTGCTTTATTTTTTAAATAATGAAACATTTTCAAAGACGACAATAAAAAAACTAAATAAGGTATAATACAAATGGTTCACTTTTAAAGAACCCATTTAAGCTATGTTATAACTCAAAGATATTATAGAACAGAGATTATGACATAATTTTAAAGTACCTGGAAACAACTATTGGAAATAATCTTTTAGTAAATTTGTATGACAAACCAAGCAATGTAATAGAGCCCAAGTCTTCTAGAGTTCTAGAAATTTCCTTATAAGAAATATTATAGAAAATCTTAGCCAATGGGATTTTGGATTTGTAAATTAAGAAGACTGAAACAAAGAGATGCTTAATTTCAATTCCCGAACTACAGAATGTGGACCGACACATATATCACAAAGAATACTATAGACTGCTAGAATATTAAGATTACAGATTATAAAGGGACTTGGACACAATCCAGCCAAACTTCTAGTGCAGTAACAAAATACATATGACAGAACCCCTAACATGGAATCATCTTGCAGTCCTTGAGTCATTTTAGTGGCAAGGCACTAACTCACAGAACCACAATTTTTTTTTTTTTTAAACATATCTTTATTGATTTCAGAGAGAGGAAAGGAGGGGGAGAGAGAGAAAGAAACATCAATGATGAGAGAGTCATTGATCGGCTGCCTAGCCCGCAACCCGGGCATGTGCCCTGACCAGGAATCGAACCCCGATCTCCTGGACCCTAGGTCGATGCTCAACCGCTGAGCCACGCCTGGCCGGGCAGAACCACAATTTTTTAAAATGCCAATTCTTTAAAAGTTTTTCATTTTTATTAAGCCAAAATGCACTTCCTAGAAACTTTAAGCTCAGTAACTTTGACCTGGGCCCTATTAGTATCATATATTATGCTACCCCTCAGCACTATATGGATTGAGATAACTAATCCATCTTTTATATTATAATTCTGCAAGTATTTGAAAACACTTATACTACTACTGACTGTTGATCATATGATGGATGTAGTTACCGCCATCCTAGATAGGAAATTTCAGCTGTTGTCTAACTAATGACATCATGTTGGGAATAGCTTCTAAGTGCAGGTAGGTGGCATTATGTTCCCAGTTCTTTGTCAAATTTACTGTTGTTAAGCTACATTCACCCTCTCTTGAACTTCTGGAGTTAGTCTATAAAACCTAGGCCAGGATTTTACATTCACCCTTGTTAAATTTGACTCAAAACTTTTAGTGTCTCATTCCAAGATTTGCTGATTAGCAGAATATGGAGTGATAAACAGGCCCCGGTAACTTGACTGCTTCTTGCAAGTTGTGAGCAATCAGCTCTTTGCACTAACAAAGAAAATATGTCTTTCTTGGTTCTGAGCTGTTTCTGTCATTTGTTATGAGTTTCTGTCATTTGTTAATGCACATTCATTCTACAGCCTTGGCAAGAGGCTGGTGTAGGTCAGGGGTAATGGGGGTAAAGGATCCTTCTCTATCTCCATTTCTTGGAGAAGTAGTATGACCTCCAAGACGGGAAAACTTTCAGCAGTACTTGATGTTTACCCTCTGAGCTAGTACTTAAATTCCAGAGTGCACAAATGCCAGAACATTTTGCTAAAACTACTCCACCCCCCTGGAAGAATGACAGAACATAAAGATATGATCTTTTACAAATAGGACTGCTCTCTGGGAGGGGCCTTAAGAATACCCCATTTTATACAAAACGAAACTGAGACCCAGAGAGAGACACCAACTTGCCAACTATCACACAGCTCATCTATTTGCCACTCGGTGCAGACAGACTGGCAAAACCTCTTTTAAAAATGACAGCAGCTTACATTTTCCATTCTAACTAGGCACGGTACTGGGTGGGTGCTTCAGGTGCTGTTCTTTTCTAACTGTGACTTGACTGAAGTACAGGACCTAATTTCTAAGATTCAAAATACGCATGTAGATTCTCAAA